ACTTTTCCATCTTTTTCAGACTTTGTGGTTTTTTTGTTTCGTTTTGTTTTTTTGTAGCAGGAATCAAACTCATGACTTCACACTTGCCAGGCAGGTGCTGTGCTGCTGAGCTATATCCCTGGCCCTTTTTCATACTTTAGAGTGAAGGAAAAATCAAAATAGCATTTTCCCCCTGTGGAGCTCACAACTGGGAATTCCTTCTTCATGTTTTAATTGCAAAACACCATACTAACTGAAAAACAAGCTGGTATACACCATCTGTCTCCCAATTTCTCTATCTTTCTATCTGTGTAGGGAGTCTAGGGCTGTATTTTTTTATAATAATACAAAAAAAATTGATAACTTTGGATTCCAGTCAATGATGAAACCAGAGGTCAAAGATAGACTTCCTTAATAGTCTTAACCAGATAGCCATTCAGTAAGAAATAAAACAGCCCTTGTCTTTTTGAGACAGGGTCTCTCCATGCTGGCCAGCTTACTTTGTAGCCCACATTAGTCTCAAACTTGCAATGACCCTCCTTCCTCAGCCTCCCAAGTGCTTGGATTATAAGCATGTGCCACCATGTCTGGCTTGGGCCATTTTTTTTAATTTTATTTTATTTGGTACTGGGGATTGACCTCATGACCTCGCCACTTGCTAGGCAGGTACTTACGCCACTGAGCTAGATCCCTAGCCCTTGGCCAATTTTTTATAATACTGAAAATGAAGTCTAAACATACAATAATAAAGAATTAGTTAATTTCTCGGTGTGGTGACACACACCAGTAATCTCAGCATGTTGCAAGGATGAAGCAGGAGAACTACAAGTTTTGGCCAAGCCTGAGCAATTTTATGAGACCTTATCTTTAAAAAAAAAAAAAAAAAAAGGTAGAGGATGGTACGGATATGGTAGCGCAATACAAAAACCCTGCTTTCACTCTCTATGGACTTTTGCCAGGCTATTTTAAAGGATTGCCATGTATACCATTACACATACCTATTCACACATACATGGAATTTTTAAAAATAAAGTTAAATCAAAGCAAAAGGAAAAAAAATTTTTGTAATAGTTACACAAATCATAAAAGGGAAGAACTAATTAAAAGTGATACTCAAAATAAACTAGCGCCTATATTATAGTGCTGGGATCAATGCTGTCTCTGTTTTCTACTCTTCTGTATATATGACATTATTTCAGAGATAGAAAATTATAAATAACAGTAACATCATCTAACACTTTCACAGCACATTCTAATCTGTATGTTAGTGAAACTGATGTTACAAAATTTCAATTAACTCTTCTAATATGAAAGATATTATCACAAACTTATAAAGAACGAAAATGAGTATTTTACCTTTTTATAAAGGCACATAAAAGGTCACAGTAGAACTGAATATTCTTTCAGCTAGATAATTAACTAAGTGCTATAATTTTTCTCTACAACCATTAGTTACCACACCCCATTACTAAACAGGCACCTAGTTTAAAGCAGAAAGAGGGAGAAGGTAAGTTCTACCTTAAAAAAAATCAAAGTACCTTAATACTTCCTCTTTACATAAAGGCATTTAAATCTACTAAATTCCTAGAACGGTCAAGAGTTAAAATGATCCTATTTAACATTCATCATCATTATTAATTATGTCAAATATACAGTCACTTAATTCTGTGTCACTTAATTCCTTTGAGGTGTGAGGTAGCTACTGTTATGCATTTTACCAATAAGAAATGAAAATTTCAAATCTAAATCAAAGAATCACATTCCAGAAGCCCAGATTAAATCTGTTGTCTACCCCCAAATATGTAGATTTTACCCAAATCAAAGATGTATCCTAACAAGGGGTGGGGAACAGAAAGGAAAATGCAAAAAAAAAAAAAAAAAAAGAAAAAGCTGATGAAAACATGAAGTTGGTGCTTTGTAAACTACAGATTCTTTGGCTTCTGGAAAAGTCATGGGTTAATTTTATGCTCTTCCTGAAGAACATCCACTATGGACCTAATAAAGAATAATAAGCCAAGAGAAGTTTGATACAGAAAGTCTAATAATTTACACCCAGGACAGATGTGTGAGTCTCTAAAAAGAGAATGCTATTAGGACAGCTCAAATCATAGGCATAAAAAATATTAAAGGTGACACACACTTGTACATCTTCATAAACAATAAAACGTCTGTCTACTTTCTACTGTACTGTAGACGCCGGACTAGAGCTCAAGAGATCCAGGTTCTAGGTCCTTAACTGGTAAAAATAAAGAGGTTGGATCTTTACCTACTAGCTGAAAAATTCAAGATACAAAAGCAAAGTGCAACTGCTGCTGAGCGTGATTTATGTGAGCCATACATCTTAAAGGGGTGGAGAGGCACCTTGAGTGCCATCTTGAGATCAGCCTAATGCATTTTACTTCACCCATTAATGTTACAAAATCTGCTTAGTTTCTATACTTCTTCAGGGACAACAAGAAAAACATTACAAAGGGACAAGAAACACATGCTAAGGATAAAATACTTGTTTTTAGTCTTTTTATTTATTTTTTGTTTTGTTTTGAGACAGGATCTAGCTATATTCCAGGCTGGTGTTGAACTCACAGGGATCCTCTAGCCCTACCTTTTGCATGCTAGGATTACAGCTATGTATCACCACAGCTTAATTTCTTATTTTCTTTGACTTTGACAATATGCAACTTTTACAGCATTCTAAAACTTAAAGTCACACATGATGACGCCAACTATAAAAATATGAAGACATGAACTAGTAATATGAACAAATATAAGTGGTCACAGTAGGGTATGAAATGGAAAACAGTACTTGTAAGCTATAATCTTTCACAAAACATTACTCTCTTTTCAATAAAAATCACTTCATTTATTCTTCTATTCTCTCTCAATCTGTCTGAGTCCTAACAGAGCAGACAGCTGAACCCTGTTTGTAAATAAATCATAACTGGATAATGTTTCCTCTAAATGATGCAAGCTTGAAATGGGTTACTGTACACAGATATGATGGGCTCTTGAAATTTATTCTTCCCAGCAAACTTAGGCCTTTTATTCATTTTGGTGGCCAACACAGAGCCAAGTGCAGACCAATCTGGAACAGACTGAATCAACTTCTACCCTTCAGCATGATGTTCTTTTCTTTTCTTTTTTCTCTCCTTTTTCCTTTTTCTTTCTTGGTGGGAGATATGTGATCAACCTTACACATGCTATTCAAATGCTCTACCATTGAACTACATCCCCAGCCCAGAATATTCCCTTAAAGTTCATTTTTGTAGTTCAAATGAAACTTTGGAAATAAAAGAAATTTACTATTTAAAAGCCTCCTAAAAACAACTTCAAAAATACTGTTGCCAAGGAGAAGATCTACAGTTCCCATTTTCCTGGTTGGCTCCAGTCCGCTCAAAGCCGACAGTAATGAAATGGCCACACTGTCTGTTTACTTTGCAGTGCTCTTTACTCATTTTAACTTCGATTTCTTCAGTAATCACAATTCCTTACGTTTGTTTATTCAACATACTGTAATGTATCTTTGGAGAAATTAAAGCAAAAATTAACCTTTGGTTTCAGCAATGTATAGCTTCTTTCTGAGAGGCAGGTCAAGAAAGAATCAAAGTGCTGGCATAAACATTAAAATAAATTCATATTAACAAATCAAAACACCTTTAATTTGGAAACTGGTTTTTTACAAAAATAAGCAGTTTTAAATACCTATGATCAGGGCTGTGGATTTAGCTCAGTGGCACAAGCACCTACCTGGCTGGTGTGAGGTCATGAGTTCAATCTCCAGTACTCACAAACAAATAAATAAATACCCATCTATCTATGTTCTAAAAGTAAAGGGAAAAAACTCTTTCCTGTCCAGCAATCCTACTTCTGGTATCCAGCAGAAATGAAAATAGGGTTCTGAAGAAATATTTCTTAAATGTTTTGTTTTTGAGTTTCACTATGGAGTTCAGGCTGCCCTTGAACTCACTGTGATCCTCTTCTTTCAGCCTCCTGAGTTCAGGAATTAAAGGCATGCACTACCATAGCTGGTGAATACTGAAATATCATGCTAAATGAAATAAGCTACTCATAAAAGGACAAATATTGTATGACTCCATATAAACATAGCACCTAGAGTAGTCAAATTCATAGATACAGAGTACAATGGTATGGCCAAAGGGAGCAAGGGAAGGAAGAACAATTATTTAATAATACAAAGTTACCATTTTACAAAATGAGTTATGCAGATTGGTTTTATACTAATGTGAGTATACTTAATACTACTGAATGATGACACTTAAAGAACTATTAAGATAGGGCTGGGAATAGGTTAGTGTTAAAAATGTGATCCCCATCACTAAAGAAAAATCAAAAAAAGCCTTCCCAAAAATAAATTATAGGGTTAGAAGTTCTTTTAGCTTTGAACTACCACATTATTCATGACATCAACAACATGTGGCAGGGTACAAAGTCCAGCAAGACAAGCAGCTCTTTTTGAGTACTCAGTGCCACTTAATGAAAGGTGTATTGTTTGAAATAATTAGTTTTTTTTTATAAAAGGAATAGCTTTAATCCTACACTGGAACTGGTTAGTGATCTTGGTTTCCCTTCATTATGTTCTTGACAGCTCAATGTCCTCACATCTGTCACTGTTTGGGAGACTGATTTCAAGAACATAAATTGCTTCAAGGACCAGGCAACAAATTAATTCTGGTTCACAGGACAGATTTGAACCCATCTGTTTTCTAATCAAAAGCCATATTTGAGTCAGTTTTGTTCCATTACAGGGCCAATGAGAGCAACACAATCATATGGTATTTTCATCCTTTCTCCCTGTGTAGTATAAATGAGTACAGGAAACACACATCAATGAAATGCCCAGGAACATCCTCAGAAACTGGTCTTTCCAGAATGCAGGATCCACTAGCTATTCAATCTTTATCTTTCTATTCTTCAGATTTCATTAATTGCTTTCCCTCTGAATTACAGTTTCTATAGGAATTACAGAGAGGACAAATATTACTATATTACAGCAACCAACCCACCTTAATCTTTTTTTAAGTTGCAAACTGTCGTGGATGATTCTTTTAACAAACTCTAATTCACCTCCTTCTGCCATGATTTCTGTGATACCTCCTGTATTTACAGAACTAGGTGGAGGTCTTCGAGAATTCCTAGAGTTTACTCCCTGAAAAACAACAACAAAAACCCTAGTGAAAAATATTTACATCTTAAGAACCAAATCTTTGTAATCAGCTGTAAGAGAAAATGTTCAGATGTAGTTTTATTTCCCAATATTATGCTAGACTTAGGATTTAAAAATCACATATCCATGATATCTTAAACAACTGCATTCATGCAAATATTTCTTCCTGGAGATTTTATCTTCTGTCCTTGTAAATAAATATTAAAAATTTTCTGTGGTCACTCTAGTACATGCCTATATTCCCAGCACTCTGGGAGGCAGAGGTAGAAGAATTTCAAGCTCAATGCCAGCCTGGGCAACTTAGCAACTTGTGAGACTTTGTCTTACAATTTTAAAAATGGGGCCGGGAATTTAGCTCAGTGGTATAAGCACCTGCCTGGCAAGCACAAGGTCATGATTCAATCCCCAGTACAAAAAAAAATTTTTTTTTTAAAAACAAGAGGTTGAGGGCTGAGCGTGTAGCTCAATAACTAAGTACAAAGGCTCTGGATCCAATCATGAGTTCACAAAATAAATACATGAATTAAAATTTTAAAAGTCAACTGTTAATTTTTCTTCATATTTTTTTCTTCTTGATACTGGGAGTCAAACCCCCAATCTCACACTTACTAGGTAGGCACTGTGCTGCTGAGCTACATCCCCAGTCCTAATTCATGTTTTCTGCCTTAATCCCATGCACAGAAAATCTTAAATATTAAATAATTACTTATATTTTCCTCTAATACTTTTATGATTTTGCTTTTTACATTTAAATATTTAATCATTCTTACTTCATATCATACAAAAAAAAAATGAACTCAAAATGCACTAAAGACCTAAATGTAACAGTTAGAAATTATAAACCAGGCATGGTAGCAGTGGTATACACTTATAATCCCAGCACTCTAGGAGGCTGAGGCAAGAGGATCACAAATTCGAGTTTGGCCTGAGGAATACAGCAAGATGGTCTCAAAATAAAAAACGAAAGACTCTGGGATATAGCTCAGTACAAAGGTTCTGGGCTCAATTCCCAGTGCAAAGGGGGTGGGGTGGGGATTAAACTCTCAGAACACAACACAGAAGTAAATCTTCATTACTCTGGATTAGTGAATAGTTTCTTAGATACACCAAAAGCATAAGCTTCAATAACAAAAACCACAGGCTGTGCATGGTGGTACACAACTGTAATCCCAGCACTTGGGAGGCTGAGGCAAGAAGATTGCTGCAAGAGGCCAGCCTGAGTTACCAAGTGAGCTCAAAGACAGGCTGGGCTACATAGCAAGACTCTGTCTCAAAATGATAAATAAATACAAATAAAAACTAGAAAAACTGAATTAGATATCATCAAAATTAAAAATTTCTGAGTTGAGCAGGATATCATTAAGAAGGTGAAAAGACAACCAATAGAATGGGGAAAATATTTGCAAATTGTTACCTAATAAGGGACTTATACTAGGATATATAAAGAATCCTCACAACATAACAAAAGGAAAATTAAGTTAATAAGGAGTAAAAGCATTCCAAAAAGGATACAGGAACGGCCAATAAGCAGATAAAAGGATGTGCTTAGCCTTTAGCACATCACAAACCATTAGGGAAACACTAATAAGATGACTGAAAATCTATGCTCACAGAAAGAGTCGTACACAAACACATATCACTATTTCTAAGAGCCTCAAAGTGGAAACAACCCAGATGACTATCAACTGATGAACAGAAAAATGTGATGTGTCCACAGAATGGAGTATTTGGCAACAAAGAAAAATAATGAACAATGTACTGGTACATGCTACAACATGGATAAAACTTGAAAATGGACATTAATCTTAATAAAAGGAGTCTGTCACAAAAGACCACATTTGTGTAAATGCATTTATACGAAAAATCCAAACAGCTCAAATCCACAGAAAAAGAAAAGCAGACTGCTCATTACTTAGGCCACGGGGTGCTGGGGGAAAATCAGAATGAATGAACACTAGATTTCTTTTTAGTATGATGAAAGATGTTTCCATTTGACTGTAGTAACAGTCACATACCTCAGTGAATGTATTAAAAATCATTAAATCCTTTAGTTTACATGGGTGAAATTAAATAGTATATCAATATACTATAATATAGTAACTTGGTTCAATATTGCAGAAAGAAGGTAAACCTAGAAAACACAGCCTCAGCCTTCATGGTAGTATGAATTCCATGACTGAATTGTTCCTGAAGCCCAAACTACTGCTAGATTTTTCAGATACACATTTACTACTAAGTCTATTTTTTTTTTAAACTTTTTATCGGTCCTAGGGATCGAACTCACGACCGCCTGCTTGCAAGGCAGGTGCTTATGCCGCTGAGCTAAATCCCCAGCCCCTAAGTCCATTTTTTTTTTCCCCCACCAGTACTGGCATGTGAACAAGTCCTTCACACTAAGTTACATCCCTACTTGCCCCTCCCCAGTTATTTTTTAAGAAAAGGTCTCACCAAATCATTAAATTTCTCTGGCAGGGCTGCAGCTTTTGATCCTGCTGGCTTGGCCTCCCAGAACACTGTGATTAATACTGGCATGTGTGCCAGGTGTGCATTACCACACCCAACTACTAAATCTGAATTGAGTTTTTAGACACTTTAAACCAAGACATCCTAAATGAAATAGCTTCCAAAATAAAAACTGCCTTTTGCTCTTATCTCTGGAAACAAGGCAAATTTAGGTAAGTATTCTATTACTTTAAAGCAAAAGATATTTTACCTTGGCCTCCAACTGGTTGGCAAAAAAAGGAGGGTTGCACATGCAAAAGTCATAAATTATTTCAGATTCTTCTTTAAGAGCATCCATTAGAAGTGTCTTCTGTGGTACTTTTACCACTATGAGAAAAAAAAGGGGAGGAACTGTTAACTGTTAATCCAATAGTGGCTTTAAAATATGTGTACAAGTTATTGGTCGCTACTAAGAGATGCAGTTCATAATTTTCCTCCCCTTGAGTGTCAGCTTTACCTAGTGACTTAATTTTATAAGACAGAATACACTGGAAACAACAAGGTGTCATGGAAAGTAGTCCTTGCTTTCTCATGAATACTTGCTCCAAGCGAGGCTGACTGATACAGTGCAAGGGCACCTTAGGAGCCCATTGAGCAACAAACTAAAATTTCATTGTAAAAATGGCCATATAAGCAGGGCGTCTTGGAAACAAATCTCTTTTCACTCATCTGTCTTCAAGTGACAGCCATGGCCAACATCTTGAGCATATCCTCTTGAAAGGCCCTCAACCCATCCACTCAAATTCCTAACATATCAAAACCATGAGAGAACAATATTTACTCTTTAAAATTGTTATGTTTTAGAGTAATTTGTTATAGAACAATGGAGAATTAAACAAATACATCAATAACATTGATTTCCCCTTAAAATATGCTAAACATTATTAAGAAAAGCTTATTTCTTTATTAAAGAGACATAATACAATGTTTAATAAAAAGTTAAGAGAAGTTTATACCTATAATGAGTGCAAAAACTAATCAATCAAAAGGGAATTTGATTATTTCTACCAGGATTCTGAATACCAAGAGTATAGTTTAATCATTAAGTTTCTTTCCTTAGTGACTCAGTTACTTCATATACTGCAGACTTTAACTATTCAAGATAGCTATATTCCATGAAGTTTCATGAATGTTAAATTACCAAATACTGAACCAGTGGATACTAGGAGAAATGAAGGCTTTGTTAGATTCTTGGAAGACTCAGGTGACAACATAGTTTTCTAATTAAGGACTTTATGTAACACATATTGCTGACTGGCAACACTGAACTTAGGGCCAACAGCACAATAACTCATGTCTAAATGAAGCTTATCTAACATTATATTTCCTCTATAACGTACACTGCAGACTTCTTGCAGTTAGTAATACAAGGTAATACTTTAACACTATGTTCAGGGAGCATTTTAAATAGCAAAATAACCAATAAAAAGCACAAAAATGCAAAAACCGTGGCACTAAATAGTTCAAGAAAAGGTACTTGTCATAGTATGGAAGCGAAATAAGGCAGAATCAGGCATGGTAGTGCATACCTGTGATGCCAGCACTCGGGAGGCTGAGGCAGGAGGATCACTGCAAGCTCAAGATCAGCCTGGGCTATAAAATGAGCTTAAAGCCAGCCTAAACTGTATAGTGAGACCCTGTCTCAGACAAAAACAACAACAATAAAAAAACCTCTGTTGAAAATACACACATTGGGCAATTCAAAACTTGTGCCTCTTCAAAAAAAAAAAAATTGAACCTGGCATGGTAGTGGCCATCTATAATCCCAGCACTTAGAGCTTAAGGCAGGAAGACTGCCAGGATTTTGAGGCCAACCTAGGTTACATAGTGAGTTCAAGGCCAGTCTGAACTCACATAGTGAACTCACATAGTCTGAACTCACATAGTGAAACCCTGTCTCAAAAAACAAAAAGCAAACCAACAAACAAAAAAAGTATGCCACATCCACACACATCTGTGAATGACTATGAAAGCACCATGAGGACTGACTTGGGATCTACCTATAGCCCTTGGTTCAGCCACTTAGAAGTATGTTTGATGGTCTCTTCAGAATTAAAAATACCAAATTGTCCCTCAGTTGGAGAATGAATAAACTGTGATTCTCTAGGATGGGCATGGTGATACGTGCCTTTACTTCCAGCACTCAAGAGGCTAAAGCAGGAGGAATATGCAAGTTTGAGGCCAGCCCAAGCATCATAATGAGTTCAAAGCTAACCTGAACTACATAACACTATCCTGTCTCAAAAACAAAACAAGCCAGGCATAGTGACACATAGTTGTAACCCAGCACTCAGGAGGCTGAGTGAGGCAGGAGGATCACTGTGAGTCTGAGGCCAGTCTGGGCTACAAAGTAAGACTTGTCTCAAAAGACCAAAAACCAAAACAAAACAAGCAAAGAAAAAAACTAAGTAAATGAAAATTTAAACATTTAAACATGAATCAAAAATTTTAAAAAGGACAAGGAATATAAAGCCAAGCATGAAGTCTGACCCACCCAGTACCAAAGAAAAAGATTTTTTAAAAAAACCTGTAGTACACCTAAAGAATATTAAAAAGAAATCTGCTAAAAATAGTAAGTTACCAAACTTGACATGCCATAGATAAAATGGGAATGAATATTATTAAGTGAAAGATGCCAATCAGAAAAGGATACATAAATTGTATGACTCCAACTATATGACATTCTGGACAACAGTTCTATGGAGTTGTATTAGTGTGGAATGAAGGATGAAGAGGTGGAGCACAGAGGGTTTTCAAGGTAGACAGATGATATATATGTCATTTTCACTTGCCTAAAACCATGGAATGCACAACATCCAGCGTGAACACCAGGTGTAAGCTGGCTGTGGTGATGATAACTGCTGGCTGTAACTGATGTGTCCCCCTCTGGGGGAGGAAGCTGTGCCTATGCAAGGGGCAAGGAGTACACAGAAATGCTGTCCCTTACATTTCACTGTGGACCTAAAAATGATCTAAAAAATAAACTGTTTAAATACCCAAACAAAAACTACGTAAGAACATACAACAAATTATTTTTAAAATGTATTCAAGAAAACCTACTAAATGGGGCTGGGGATTTAGCTCAGTGACATAAGTACCTGCCTTGCAAGCAGGCGGTCGTAAGTTCGATCCCCTGTACCAATAAAAAAGAAAAAGAAGAAAAAAAAAAAAAAAGAAAACTTACTAAATAAATAAACTTCAGCAAGTAGGTAAATTCACAAGTAATGAGAATCAACTATATTAATTTTCTTTCTCAGTTAATTCTGGTATCAAAACAGCAAACCCAATTACAATGTGACAAATTTCTAAATAATCATCAAAGTATGTATTAAAGCAAAAGATAATGAGACGTTAAAAAGATGAATAAAGTTTGAAGAAGTAGTATTTATTCTGTGGTACCAACCTTTTATGAGATCAGATAAGTTATTCTGTTCCACATTTTTCTTTGCATAGTTGAAACACATATCGTCCACTTCTGTTGCAAGGAAATACCAGCCATTTAAGGTTGCTCCAAGTAAAGGATAGATGCAGGATGCCCCAGTGCCTAGTCAAATGCAAAACACAAGCTATACACCATAGGGAGAGATGGGAATAATAACAGAAACAGTATTCTTCTCAGAATTACAGTCTTAACAGTGTAAATGGAAAGCTGGTACATATTGTAGCTACTGAATTCTCCAGTTGTTTCATGTACATTAGTTTTACATCATAATCAGCTTCAGGGCTAGGGATTTAGCTCAGCAGCATATGTGCCTGTCTTGCAAGTGCACGGTCATGAGTTCAATCCCTGGTACCAATTTAAAAAAAAAAGACTATATAAAAAAGGAAGGGTTGGGGATTTAGCTCAGTGGTGTAAGTGCTCGCTTGGCAAACGCAAGGTCATGAGTTCGATCACTGGCACCAAAAATAAAAAATCGTAATCAGCATAAAACTCCTAGAGGAGAGAAATCTTGCAGTTTGGGGGTTTTTTTGTTGTTGTTACCGGGGATCAACTCATGACTGCGCACTTGCAAGGCAGGTGCTTATGCTGCTGAGCTAAATCCCCTGCCCCTGCAGTTCTTATTTGTATGTTTTTTGTTTGTTTTGCAGGAGACTTACAGGTACTCAAGCTAGTTTGCAAACCTAGTACTTTACATATACTCAGCAAATGCTCTACCACTGAGCTATATCCCCAATTCTCCTTTTTGTATATTTTCTATTAAATGAACCATACATAATTCGAGGTCAAGATACATATAACTGATTCACTAAAAATGTTCAAAATTTAATTTACTTTATAAAAAGTCTTATTTTTTTTTATAGTGCTTAGGATTAAGTCCACAATCTCAGGCATACTCAGTGCTTTACCACTCAGATACTTCTCCAGCCCTTTTTTATTATTTTAAGACAATTTCTCACAAAACTGACCAAACTGGCTTCTGGAACTAAGTGTTCCAGAATGACTAGTGAGGGCTGGAGATATAGCTCAGGGGCACAGCACCTGCCTGGCAAGAACAAGGTCCTGAGTTCAATTCTTTTTTGTTTGTTTGTTTTTTTCTTTTTTATCGGTACCGGGGATCGAACTCACGACTGCCTGCTTGCAAGGCAGGCGCTTATGCTGCTGAGCTAAATCCCCAGCCCCTGAGTTCAATTCTTGATGCCAGGAAAAAACAAACAACAAAAAACCAAAACGGCTGATGGCTGGTTAGTGAACAACTATTATGCAGAACTCCCCACCGGTGGCTGATGCACAGCTGCTCAAGTTTCTTAGAAAAAAAATCAACACTATTTTTTAAAATCCCATAGCAGTATCTTAAAATATATCAGCGTAACTGGAAATAGGAGATAGAGCCTTTGTAAATGGGAAGGGGACCAAAAGATGGAAGGAGAGGGGAAGGAAAGGAAAAGGATAAAAAAGAATTAAGATGTGCTATGTACTTGCATCAACTTCCCACAAGGAATGTAATCATTCTGAACTACAAACATGTACTAATAAAAATTTAGAATTTAAATAAACTAACATACATCTCATGCTCCAAAAGGAGAAAAAATATATAAGGTATAAATTTTTATGCACCAAATAGCCTAATCCCCACATTTTGTAAACTGCCACTTAAACCAAAGGTACAAAAAAAATAAGATTTTGTTTTTAGATGTGGAGACATGCAAAGATACTTGATTTGGATACAGTCATCGGCTAGCCTCCTACAGGTTCAAGGGAGATATTCAGAGGCAAGTGCTATGGCAAAAAATCACTTACATGACAACCAGATTTGGTTCTAAACTTACATATAGAAGGCCAAACAATCGACTGGTCTAACCACAAACACTGCTTATTGGCTAACTTTGACCAATTAGAATCTACAGGGTGGGGCTGGGGATTTAGCTCAGCGGCATAAGTGCCGGCCTTGCAGGCAGTACTGAGTTCGATACCCGGTACTGATAAAAAAAAGGAAAAAGACAAAACAACAACAACAACAAAAAGAATCTACAGGGTATATCTGAGAAGGAAAGCCAGTATTTTACCCAAAGGCCTCTCAGAGGTCATCTAAAACAGCCACTCTAAGGCTCACTTTCCCCTGACCACATTCTGGTTCCAGCCTCGCTCCTAGATCAGGCAGGAAGAAGTACAGGCTGGAGGAAACCCAGGGTCATCTTGCTGCTTCCTCATGAGATAATCTCAGCTGGCTAGAAGAGGACAGGGCAGTGTCAGATGGCTGCAGTGACAATGATTGCTGCTCAACTTTCTCCTCGGGAACTTGTGAGGTGGGGAGGGAGGAGAGTAAAGGGTATGCAAACTCCTCTGAGAAGCCACAATTAGGCAGGCTTGCTGGCACACCGCTATCATCCCAGTACTTGGGAAGCTAAGGCAGAAAATCTGTATCAAGGCCACCTGGGCTATACAGTGAATTTCAGGTCAGCCTAGATACATAGCAAGACTTGTCTCAAAAATAAAAATAAAAGAAGAAGCAGCAGCAGCAGCATGCACAATTATTCAGTATAGCTAGCTATTCTGGTGAGCCAGTCATTCAGAATTTAAGAATTTCTATAGCACTTTTAGCTCTACAGGAAAAGAGAAATCCAGACCAGATCCAGGCCTTGACTCTTACTCAACTGTTTCTCTTTGCAAACTTCAACTTCATGTCAAAGAAAAAAAAAAAAAAGCATTTACCTTGAGTGACAAATGCAGATAAAAGACCCATCCCCTCCCCAAAAGTTTCTCAATTCCCAAGACCAAAGAACTTTCATTCCAACATTCTAATCCCCCCAGAAACCAAAGTGACAATATTTAAGTGGATAATAATCTTTATAATAGTAAATAAAAATAGAAAGTATAGTCATAGAATTAGAGCAAACTGATGGAGTCTAGGGGAAGAATTTATATGAAACTCTAATTAGAATGAATATGATTTCAGCAAGCATTGTCCCTTGCAAAGAGCTAAAATCCATTAACCTTCTATATTCCCAAGCGTTGTGTTAGAGGGTTTGGGGCATAATTTAAATCAAATTAGCACCAAAAAGGCTGTCAAGCTTTTAAGCTTTTTAGAACCCATCAGCTAGGCTTCTACTATGAATATAAGAGGGTAAGAGCCTTAGGTACACTCAACTGTTTTTACAATGCTTAACTCACATAGAGTGTCCAGAATTTTGAATGTTAAAAGAATTATGTATTCCAGGGTTTGCTGATCATTCTCCATCCCACCCCAGCTTCAGCCAATCAAAGGGTGAGATTCATGGCCTAAAGCATCCAGAGGCATCAACTTGCTTCCCACTGTCGCCAGGACTGCTGCAGCCTCATGTGCAGCTGACTTTAGACCCAGACCATTTTTCTTTCTGCTGGACTCTGGGTCACCCTGAGACTGGTACCAGTAGGACTACATGGGCAGGAGAGCTTGACTGTCTCCAGTTTTCAAATAAAACTGTGTCAATTAAATAAATAGGTGGGGGAGACTGGGGGTTTAGTTTAGTGGCATAAGTGCCTGCCTGGCAAGAACAAGGTTGTGAGTTCAATACCTGATACCAAAAATAAATAAATAAATAAAAATTACAGTGGACCCTTGACTACAAACTCAATTCATTTGGAGGGACTGGTTGTAACTCAAGTTGGTTGTAAGTCAAGACTATGTTTTTTCTGTAACAAATAATGGAAATACCCATAAGGCATTCCAAACCTCCTAAAGCATCCCTTAACTATTTCCTAATAAAAAAGGGTGGCATAATATGAGTAATCTACCAGAAACACCAACAGTTTTCCTAGTGTATTTACCAAAAAGTTATACATACGTGCCTAATTTACCAGAAATAACAATTTCTTTCTGTACTCACCATGTAGGTTGACAGCCTTGGCTTGCAGGAAGGGAGGATGGAAAGGAAGGTGGTTACTGTTTAAAGGTGAGCCCCTTTCATAAGAACATCAGGAATCTGGCTCCCTGGCATCCTTTCTCTTCTAGGGAGAGCCTGTGGCCACTAGGACCTAACTCTGGCTCATTAGGCTCATTCTTTTTGGAACTAAAAACTAGCCTAAGGTTGTCTATTTCAGTCTTTAACACTGTTCTGTAGCATGACACAACACCGCAACTAAGCAAGTGAATACAACACCTGGCTATTTATTTCTTTGCTGGGTGGGTCTTCTCTACAAATGTTTGTAGCTCACCCATTTTTTCAAATTTCATTTATTTCAGAAGAACTTTGCTGCACTGATTGTTGATATTCCCCTTCCTTTTCAGAAAGCTCCTCAGCAGCCCTTCACTGTTGCTCAGCCGGAAGTTGCTGAAGTTCCTCTGTAGACAACTCATCTGAGTGTTCCTCTATCAGTTCCTCAGCATCGTCACCATCTAGCTGCAAGTTGATGGACTCTGCTACACTGACAGACAATGTTATCAACCACAGGGTTCACTGAAGGCTCAGGCTCCTCTACACAGCCTTTAAAATTTCTCTCCTGCATAACTTTAGGATGTACTTTCTACCAGGTAGATCTCAGTGTCCTGAAAGACACTAGTTCAGGATTTTTCAATTACCTTCATATAAGAAAGTGATTTTTCTTCCAGAACCCTTTAAATCTCTATCTGATCAGGAGGGTGAGGTAGGAGGATCGCTGCAAGTTCAAGACTAGCCTTGGCTACAAGGTGAGCTACAAGGCCAGCCTGAACTGCATAGTGAGACCCTGTGTCAAAAAGACAAAAACAAAAACAAACCAGTATCTGACATCATCTGAAAACACTTCAGGAATAGTTCCTTGGTGTATAGCTTCTTAAAGTTAGCTATAAGTTGCTGGTCCATAGGCTGCAGTAGAGGAGCTGTATTAGGTGGAAGGAACTCGACAGAACCATGGGAATTCTTCAGTGGATTCTTCTTCCAAATCTTGTAAATAAGCAGGAACATTCTTCACAATGAGGAGAGCCTTGAGCAGTAAACTTTTGCCCTCTAGATATTTATTTATTTATGTACTGGAGACAAGGTTTTCACTGTGTAGTTCAAACTGGCGTTAAACTCACTGTGTAGCCCAGCCTGACCTTTCACTCATGGCAATCCTCCTGTCTCAGCCTCCCAAATTCTAGGATTACAAGTGTGCACCACCACACCCAGCCTAGATTTTTTTTTTTTTTTGAAATCGGTACCGGCGATTGAACTCACGACTGCCTGCTTGCAAGGCAGGTGCTTATGCCACTGAGCTAAATCCCCAGCCCCTAGCCTAGATATTTCTTAACAGTAGGACAGAAAGCCTCCTGAATCTACTCAAGAAAAAACACCCTTGTTACTCGGCTTTTTGTGTTAGGTCTTCATATAACCCTAGCCTATTTTTCATGGTTTTAATGTTTTCTGAATACTCTAGGGGTCTCAGAGTGACAAATCGAAAAAGGCTTTATTGTGAAGTCACCACTTGCATTGGCAACACAGCACAAAGCATAGCCTGACCTTCACAGGCTTGTGGCCTGGCATTGTCTTCTCTTCCTAGGAATGATGTTCTCCTGGGCATTTTCTTCTAGAAAAGGCCAGTGGCATCATAGTTAAAAACTGATGAGAGCGAAAGCCATTTCTCCATGTCACCATTTCAAAATGACGTATGTAATTTTCAGCAGCTTTTTATTAGCATTAGCTGCTTCACTATGCCTTAGTTACACTATGAACTCCAGTTTTTACTTTAAAATTGTGAAACCATCCCTCACTGGCACAAATGTTTCACCATTATCATTCTGGGTCAGATCATCTTTTATGAGATCTGCACCTATAGCCTGAGCTTTTTCAAATTATAGACACAGGTAGGCTATCCCTGCATCTTGCCTGTCGTTTATCCACACCAATAACAGCCTTTGTACCTCATCTGACACTGTTGAGGTGACGTACGGATCTGAGTAACACTGGCTTCCTTATACAAATCTTTTCCCTGTAAGGTCATCAAGATGGTGGATTTCAACAGTCTGTACATATTAGCAAGCCTGGTCACACAATGCCATGCTTACATTTCGCCATAATTTCCTCCTTTTTTTTTTTTTTTTATTGGTACCAACGATCGAACTCATGACCATGCGCTTGCAAGGCAGGCGCTTATGCTGCTAAGCTAAATCCCCAGCCCCAATTTTCTCATTCGTTTGACTGTGATCACTTTCTCTATATTCCTTCCTTCCTTAGCTTCTTTTCTAGCTTTTTGGGGGCCATTTTGATAGTAATAATCATAGCAATTATATAGAGCACTGAATCATGTCTACAAACACACACAGTGGGGCTCAGACTGATGCTGATGCACACTTACATGTGCTTTTCTGGCACCTTGAGTCTTTGTTTTCAACCCACGAGTAGCTGCCATTTAGACTTCGACCATAAATTAATTCTAAAATTCCAGTCATAACCGAAGTGGTTTGTATGTGAGGCCATTGTGTAACTCAAGGGTCTACTGTATGTATTTATCCAGCAATGCTCCACAAATCATTTGTCTTTGCGGTTTTGTAGAAGAAAATGACATAAATCAAACAATCAGATAGTTGTATGATTAAAAACCAAAATAAATGCAATGATGGAGGAAACAAGGTTTTCAGAGAGCTTATAGCTTATCATAGACTAGGGCAGTGATGGGGAACCTTTTAGAGCTTTCCTTGGTAACAAACAGCTGGCCACAGGTTTGTCAACACTGGCCTAGGAGGTCAAAGAAGGTTTTTCTTTTTTCTTTCTTTCTTTTTTTTTTTTAGATAGAAGGTTTTTCTGAGAAAAGAAAGACTGAATTAAGCACAGTATAAAGAATGAAAAGAGAAGGTAGGGGAAGTTTCGGGCACAAGGAGTGACATTTAGTTCTTTTTTAGAGGAATTAAAAGTAAGTGTAGAAAGCAAGAGAAAGAATAACAAGGCTTAGAAAAGCCAAGAGGGCAAATATCTAACAAAATTCTAATTGTCCAAGATTTTGAGTGTTTATCGCAAAAGCAACAGGAAGTCGTTAAGTGAAGAAGATGCAATCAGATGTGGATTTCTATACATTTTCTGAAGGCAGCACACAGAACGGAATGGAGAGGCAACTGAGTGGATGACAGCCTCCTGGTAAGCATGATGATGCTCTGTAGACAAAGTGAGAGACAACAAGGAGTCGGGCCGGGATGGAGAAAGCAGGGGTGGAAAGAAATAGACAATTTAAAACATATTTAAGAAAGCCAGCTATGCTGGGTACAGTTGTAGTCCCTGCTACGTGCAGAAGCCAACATGGGCACATTGTTTAAACTCAGCAGGTTGAAACCAGAATAGGGAACAGACTTTTTTCTCAAAAGCAAGGAACAAAGGAAAACCAAAAGACCCAATAACAACTACACCAAGAAATATTTCAGAGAAAAATCTCTTAAGACAAAAAGCTAAGCACAATAGTGTTTTAAGAATTAAAAGGCGGAGAGGGAAATGGGGAAAAAGAATTATGTACAGGTATAAATTCTCTTTGACAAATGTGATAATTATGTATGGCAAATAGTACTAATAAAAAAAGAAAACAAAGAAAAATCAACAAAACTAGGCCCAGAGATACATATCTGTAATCCCAGCTACTTGGGAAGCTGAAAGAGATCTCTGGAGCCCAGGAGTTCAAGGTCATCTCAAAGAAAAAAAAAAAACAGGAATTAAGTGATGGGTGTTCTCATAGAGAATGAGAAGTAAATATTAAGGCTGACAAGGTGGATGTGACAGACTCACTGAAATAAGAAACAAAGGAAGAAAAATCAGCATTACAGAGGAAAAACTGAGTTTGTTACTGGACACTACAAGACTGAGACTTTGTTTTACTTTTGGAGACAGGGTCTCACTCTGTAGTTCAGACTGGCCTTGTTCTCCTCCCTCAGCCTCCTGAGTACTGGGATTATAGGCATGTGCTACCACACTTGGCTAGACTGAGATATTTTTGAAATAATCGTTTCTGATCTGTATGAGCGTAGAGGTCCAAAAAAGTATTCTGAGTTGGAGGAATATATAAATATCAGACTTACTTGCATGGAGGTGAGAGATAAAATCACAGACACAAATGAAATTGCTAAAAAGGGTGCTGAATGAGACAGGTTAAAGACTGAGGCTTAAAAAAGATTATCAACATCTAATGGTTAGATATGGGAAAGGAAACCTGAAAATTAGAGGAGAGTAAACATGAATAAGGAAAACATGGAAGCAAATAGGAAATAGTGCATAAAAGAGAAAGGAGGGTCAATTAAATGCTGCCAAAAAAAAAAAAAAAGTCACGTAAGATGTTCCTTTAAAACACACGCAAATGTCAAATTTAAATGTCAAATGTACTGTAATTTAGAAATTGTATGTAATCTCAGCACTCAGGAGGCTGAAGCAAGAGGATCACTGTTAGTTTGAGGCCAGCATGGGCTACAAAGTGAGTTCAAGGCCAGCCAGAACAGCACAGTAAGGTCCTGTCTCAAAGACAAAACAAACAAACAAACAAAACAAAAAAAAAAATCTAGGAATTGTGATTGCTAATAATTATCCTATATTTAGAAATAGAAACTCAGAGGTGTTACATCAATCTTTCTTACAGGAGATTAGGAAAGGACACAAAATTAAAAGAAAAAATTAAAACCTTATCAAATGAAAAGATTGGCTATAACAAGTCATTAAGATACTAAGCCTCTATTCAATTTCCTAATTGTCCTCTTTTTTATTTTATAATTATAAAACATGTCATGGCTTCATTTCCTTCTGTACTTGAATAAAAAGACAACTTTCTCTATCATAAAAATTTATAATTAAGAGAATATCTTACGGGGGTGGGGATTTAGCTCAGCAACATAAGCACCTGCCTTACAAGCAGGTGGTCACGAGTTCGATCCCTGGTACCGATAAAAATGAAAAAGACAAAAAAAAAAAAAAGAGAGAATATCTTACTTTAACTTTTTTCCCTCTCTAATCTTAGATTTAATAGCCTCAGGGGCTGGGGATTTAGCTCAGCGGCATAAGCACCTGCCTTGAAAGCAGGCGGTCGTGAGTTCAATCCCTAGTACCAATAAAAATGAAAAAGACAAAAAAAAAAAAAAAAAGATTTAATAGCCTCTGCAAATAATCATCTAGCGGTGCTGGGGGTTCAGCTCAGCAGCATAAGCGCCTGCCTTGCAAGCAGGCAGTCGTGAGTTCGATCCCCGGTACCGATAATAAACAAAAACGACTAAGTAAATAAATAATCATCTAGCAAGTTCCTCAAAGTATTCAGGACACATGCACATGATCTTTCTAATAAAAGGTTTTCTGTTGGGCATGGTGAGGCATGCCTGTAATCCCAGCATTCAGGAAGCTTAGGCAGAGGGATCCCCATGGGTTCAAGGCCAGCCTGGGCTACACAGCAAGTTCAAGATCAGCCTGAACTACCCAATGCAACCCTGCTTCAAAAAACCAAATAAATAAATAAAGTCTTAAAATGAAGAGCCATCACTTCAAAATTTCAGTATAAGGATCACTGTACTGACACCGAATGATTCAGAGTACAGGCAATGCTGAACACACACAGACATCAACCTGGGAGAATGAAAAGTTAATTAGCAATTCCTCACTTTCATTCTGTACATCTCTTACCCACCTGCTTCCTGATGGAGCTAACAACCCCTTCTTAAGAGAAAACAATAGCAGAAAGGCCCAGTGCCCACAGTAAGAATAGTAGTATTTCTGACCAGCTTTCACACAACGAATACCCAGTGGAGAAGTTAATAAAGAATTTCATCTTGCAAAACTTATGACATTTATGTTCAGGGCAAACAATTTAAAACTATATACCTATGTCAATTCCTCTTCGAAGCGGAGTTTTGTCAGCATCCTGATGACCAATCAGATCTTCCACCCAGTGAATGTAGTTGAGTCTCAAAGGAACTGTGGGGATTAGTCTTTCCAATGGAATATCAATAGAAAGTCCAAAGTCTTCCTTCAGGAGAGTACAAGTCAAAGCTCTGACTGCTTCAGGGTCTTTAAAATTAAGACTGAGGGGTGGAAAAAAAAAAAAAAAGAGGTTAAAATGTACAAGTTCTGGGGCTGGGGATTTAGCTCAATGGCATAAGCGCCTGCCTTGCAAGCAGGCAGTCGTGAGTTCGATCCCCAGTACCGATAAAAAAGGAAAAAGACAAAAAAAAAAAAAGTACAAGTTCTATGGCAGCCAGGTAATACCAAATGGCCATCAAAATGTTCTCGACACCAATATTTACTATTTATTTAAGTTAACATTAACAAGCATTTTTTTTTTTTTTTGTCTTTTTGAGATTAGATCTCGCTATGCAGTTGAGACTGGCCTTGAACTCACAGCAATCCCCCTGCCTCAGCTTCCCAAAAACTGGAATTACAGGCTTGTGCCACCACACCCAACTTAACAAGCATCTTTTATATTTTAGGGCCTATTAATTTTAGTACCTAATTAATTTTTTAAAATATTGTGTTTTAATGTGGAACTTTTATGCATGCATATATTTTGAACAATCTACCTCCCCTATTATCCTCCCTAACCACCCCCACCTTTACTCCCTTTCTTCTTGTCCAATAATAATCTTCAGACTCCCACAAGCCAGGCACGGTGGCTCTTGCTTCTAACCTCAGCACTCAGGAAGCCAAGGAAGGAGGATCACTCTGAATTCCACACCAGCTTGGGCTACATAGTGAGTTTAAAACTACTGTAAATGACCCCAAAAAGCCTTGCCTCAATAAACAAACAAACAAATACACACAAAAAGTAAACCCTCCTTTCCACTCTCATGTCATCTTTTTTATATCTTTTTTTTTTTTTTGGTCTTTTTTCTTTTTATCGGTACCGGAAATCGAACTCAGGACCGCCTGCTTGCAAGGCAGATGCTTATGCCGCTGAGCTAAATCCTCAGCCCCATGTCATCTTTTTTAGATTCCACATATCAAAAGGAACATGTGATACCTGCCTGAGTCTGGCTCATTTTGCTTAACGTGATTTCATCCATTTGTATACAAACGAAACAATTTCATCCTCCCTTTCGGCTAATATTCCATTGTGTATAATAGTATCCATCCGTCTGTTAACAGGCACCTCAACTGGTTCCATTACCTCAGCTGTTGTGAATCGTACTACATGAAACATGGGTAAAAAAGGCAGGTATGTCTATAGTATGCTGCCTTTAATTCCTGTGAGTACAGACTAAGGAGTGATGTGGCTCAAGGAAATAACAGCCCTTGGTTTCTGAGGAATTCCACGGGGAATTCCACAGTGGCTCTGTTCATTTACATTCCCATCAGCAACACAGAAGGATCCTTTCTCTTGCTCTCCTGCCAGCACTACTCATTTTTGTATTCTTTATGAGAGCCATTCTGACTTGGATGAGATGGATCTCATGTAGTTTTGATTTGCATTTCCCTAATGGCTAAAGATGGTGAACATTTTTTCATGTACTTGTTAGCCATCTGTACTTCTTTCAAAGAGTTCAATTCATTTGCCTATTTATTAACTGAACTATTTGAATTTTTTTTGGTGTTAAGCTCTTTGAGTTCTTCATATATTTTAGATAGTAATCCTGTCACAACAGCTGGCAAAGATTTTTTCCCATTCTATAAGTTGTCTCTTCCTTCTTTTTAGCTGTTTTCCTTGTTAAGCAGGAACTTTTTAATTTGATAGTCACATTTATTGATTTTTGCTAACACTGTATCTCCTATGCAATTGGAGATCTATTCAGCAAATTTTTGCCTTGGGCCTGTGGCTTCAAGTGTTTCCCTATTTTTTTCTTTTATCGGTTTCAAAGTTTAACCTGCTTTTTTCTTCTCTTTCAGACAGAATCTCACTATATGTAGTTCAGGCAGGCCTCAAATTCACAACAATTCTCCCACACCAGGACAAAGTTTCAGGTTTTATACCTAGGTTTTTGATTCATTTTGAATTGATTTTTATACAAGAGAAAGGGGTTAAAAAAAAAAAGAGAAAGAGGTCTAGTTTTAATCTTCTTCATACAGATAACCAGTTTTCCCAACACAGTTTGCTAAAGAGGCTATCCTTTCTGCAACACTTGTTTTTGTCTTTGTCAAGAATTAGATGGCCATTAGGTGCTTAGTTAATTTCTGACTCCTCTAGCCTATTCCACTGGTCTATATGTCTATTTTTGTTGCTATGGCTTTGTACTATAATTTGAAATTAAGTATTATGAAGCCTCTAACCTTGCTCTTTTTTGCTAAGGAACTACTTTGAGTATTTCAGGTTTTTTGTTTCCATACAAATGCTAGGATTGTTTTTTCTAGTTCCACAAAGAATGTCATTAGAATTTTGATGGAGAGTACACTGTATCTGTAGATTGCTTTTGTTTTATCGGTACCGGGGATTGAATTCATGATACGCTTGCAAGGCAGGCACTTATGCCACTGAACTAAATCCCTAGCTCTGTGTAGATTGCTTTTGGCAATACGGTCATTATAACAATATTAACTTTCCTGATCCATGAACAAAGCAGGTCTTTCCATCTTCTAGTGTTTTCTTCAATTTTTTTCTTCAGTCTTCTGTAATTTTCATTATAGAGACCTTTTACCTCTTTGGTTAGGCTGACTTCTAGAATTTAAAATGAAATTATTTTCCTGATTTCTTTCTCAACTAGTTCGCTAGTGGTATACAAAAAAAGGTTGTAGGGCTGGGGATTTAGCTCAGCAGTATAAGTACCTGCCTTGCAAGCAGGCAGTCGTGAGTTCGATCCCCGGAACCGATAAAAATGAAAAAAAAAAAAAAAAAAAAGGTTGTTTGGTTTGGTTTTAAACCAGATGTGGTGGTATATGCATATAGGAGGCTAAGGCAGAAGGATACCCAAATGTCTGAAGACAGCCTGAGCTACATAAAGTGAGTTCAAAGCCAACCTGAACTACACTATGAGAATCTGTCTCCTAATCCAAAAAAGCTGTGTTTCAAATGTTTACTTTGTATTCTGACACATACACAGTTATATACAATAGTCAGCACAACTCACAATAGAGTATATAATTTTCTATCCCAAACTGGGCATGGTAGCACATGCCTATAACCCCAGCACTTGAGAGGCTGCGAGTAGGAGGATCACCAGGAGTTTGAGGCCAGCCTGGACTATACAGTGAGTTCAAGGCCAGCCTGAACTGCACAGTGAGACCCTGCCTCAAAAAAATTTTTCCACCAAATACACTACATACTCATAAAGGGAAAAGGAGATTAACAATGCTTCTGTCCACCTCTTGTCTGTCTCATTACTTTAGCCACATGACTTTGATAAGTTATTTGCCTCTTTGAGACTGTGTTCTCAGCTATAAAATGAAGGTTAAAAGTACCTGTATCACAGTGCTATTATGACATAATCTGTGAAAAGTATTTAGTATAATATCTGACATTCAATAACTATTTTGAAAATACTGGTTATTTTCTATTATAATTAATCTCATCAGAATACTCTGAAAGTCATACTTAAGAAGGAAGCAATAGGCTGGTATAAGCACCTCCCTGGTAAGCAGAAGGTTGGGAGTTTTATCCCTGATACAAAAAAAAAGAGAAAGCAGTATTAAAAAATTTCAGAATTATTGGGTGTAGTGATGCATGTCTGGAGCGCTCAGCACTCAGGAGTCTGAAGCAGGAAGATCGATGTAAGTTCAAGGCTAATCTGGGCTACATGGTGAGTTCAAAGCCAACCTGAACTACATAGTGAGACTCTGTCTCAAAAAAAGTTCAATAATGAAAACAGAATAAGATATGTAAATATATAGCTATTATAGACATAAAATTTTAAATGTAAGTACTTTTTACAGGTTGATAAAGTACAATTTACAAATCATAAAATTTACCTGTAAGCATACTGACAGAAACAGGTAACCCTCACCGCAATCCACCTTTAGGATGCTCCCTCAGTCCACATGAAAACCTCTTGTGTACTCCTCCCAAGTCACTCTTCATCTCTGACCCTAGTCCACTGCTGGGGGTTCAGTCTTTACAGATTTGCCTCTTGAAACATTTCGTATACCTGAAATCATACTGTGGCTACTTGAGGCTAGATTCTTTTTTAGTTTTTTTAGATAGGGCTTTACTATGTAGCCCCAGCTGACCTTCAACTGATCTTCCTGCCTCAGCCTCTAGAGTGCTGGGCATTACAGGTTGTTTGGCGAAGGCTAGATTTTTTTGCTTAACTGAATGTGTAAGATACATATTTTTTTAATACTGGTAAATGAATTTACAATCTCACACCTGCCAGGGAGATGCTGTGCCACTGAGCTATAGCCCAGCCCTCACATTGTAATTTATATCAGTACCTTATTTCTTTTAATGGTTAAATAATAGTTCATTTTTGTTTTGTTTTGTGGCAGTCATGAATAATGCTACTATGAACACTGACACAGGTCTTTATGTAGAACTATGTTATCTTTTCCCTTGGGTTGTCACCTAGGAATGGATCATATTTATATATTTAATTTTTAAAGATGTAACTATTTCGATGTTTAAATGATGCTAAACATAAAAAAGAAAATAAATAGGTCATTTATAAACAGAGTGATGAGAAAAAGAGAACAGAAATTATGGATGGAACTATGAAAGGCAGAAAGGGCTTGAAACTGTTTAGAACTCTGGCTACCAGCTGTCTGGTCACACAGCTAGGCATCCTCAACTTCTGATCTGCCACATCCTCTTTTCTGTTCCCTTCTCAGTCATCAAATGACCAATTATTTGAAAACCTGGTCTAGAATGAAATGCCCATGTAGATGCATAGTATCATGACTCCAGTCTAATATTGACTCTGTGACTAGGCAGCCATGAATTTAAGCAAATCACTTAAATTCTTGGGTCTGTAGCTTCACCTACAAAATTAAGGGAGTGAAGATAAGGTTCCTTCTAACTACAATGGGTGACTAAGAGGAATATTTAAAATAAAATTTGTAGAAGGGCTAGAGATGTATCTCAGTAGAGCACCTGCCAAGGCATGCATCCCAGGTTCAACTCCCAGTACCATGACCATCCGCACCCCACAAAAGAAAAGCCAGA